AATTTAATAAGGTAATATAGTCAGTTTGTGCTAAACACTTACTTCCGAAATACATTATAGTATATAGCGCTCTTAATTTTGGGGCACAAAAAGGACGACATTAAACCTGAACCCTTCAAGTTCTTAAGAATATAAGAAAACACATCGATTAGAAGGCATCGTTGTCTTTATATAAATTATTTGCCTTAGTATTTTGACAGATTTCAGCGGTCTAAAGAGGATGCTGTGTATTTATCTGTGCATAGAGTTTGAGTTTGAGTGAGGATTAAGTCTTGTTGTAAAATCGAAATCCCGAAGATGTGACAGACGTGGGTGTTTTAAGCCTTAAGTCTTCTTTGATATTTCTTCGGAACGTGGCTGATTTATTTATGCTCATTTTGTAAATTCTATGATGTTTCGAGAGGAATTGAATAGCTCGAATTGCAAAAAGGGCGTTATTTGTTATTAGAGAAAAAACAGGAGGTCCAATTTCAAACACATTATATATATATATATATATATATATATATATATATATATATAATACTAAAAATAAAATAAAAAACCTAAAACAATTGAAGAGTAAAAATACTTAAAATTTGCGAAGTGTTAAAAACAGAAAATTTAATAATCCATATGAGGAAATAATATGCCTAGATTGTAATTTAACTTATATTGGAGAAACGAGCCAAAATTTAATAAAACAATTACAACACAAAAATAATTCAAAACATTTTAGGCAATTTAAAACTATGCTCACGGACTTTAATTAATTCTTATAATAATAATACAGTAATTTAGTATGTAATTGCAAAAAAAATCGAAAATGAACATTTTGGCATAACTCCTTCGTGTATGTTTTTATGTATGTGCGGATACAATTTCTCTTCGACGATTTTGAGGACACTGATCCACCGATTTAGATGATTTGGAAAATATTTGATTCCTATTGATGAAAGAGATTCTAATGATTGCAAATGTTGTTTTTATTTCTATGGGTTTCGTACCAGCATTTATAATAATTAACCGTTAAGACTGCAATATGGCGCTTTGATATTTTGCCTATAAAACAGTAGCTTTGAAAAAATTCTAAATTTTCAAAAAACAAAAAAAAATACAAAGAGAAACAAATTTTCGAATAAGTTTTTTTTTCAAAAATCTGACTTTAAATTTTTCAAATAACGGTTCGTGAAGATCTAGCAATTTGGCTTAAAGCATAATATGCTATTCGATTCGTCGTGGCGAAGATCGTTAACGCGTTGACTTTATATGGATTGCGGTGTGAAATGGCAATGGAAAATCCCGCACACTATTATTCCCTGAATCGAGTTTGAGTTAAACTCAGCTCACGGACCTGCCCTAGGGCAGCACACCCATTATTTTATTTATTTATGCTGTGCACCACTAGTTTGCATAAATAATACAACTTGAACTAGTTGTAGTCAAATTTTTCTAGATATTATACACAAGAATCAAATACCTAATTAATTCATTTATCATTGAATATTATGTGAAATACAATTTACAAATTGTGCGTCTGTAATAACTTATTGTAAAAATATTTTATTATTTAAATAAATCGTAATCAGTTTGCAATAATATTTTGCTCTTATAACTTACTAATGGTTTTGAATAATAAAACTTTAGTAGCCTTATATAGGAGTCTCATGTAAAATTTAAATTAACCAACTTATAGGTCTTTGAATATGTTATATATTTTTGCATACATCGTAATCTGTCGTAATTAATAGATTGTCATTATATTTACTTGCCATTAATCAAATTAATATATATCAAATACCATCAAAGCATAATAAACGTACAAATAATTCGGAATGTATTATCAGATATATAATATAAACCTCATGACAATTTTCTGTATCTATGATTTATACACTGTGCCAGATACAGACAAGATTTTTTCATGAATGAAATAAAATATAGAATTCATGTTTAATAAGTAGCTCACGTCTAGCCAGCAAATGGAATAAAAACTTGTTTACGCTTTTATTAAGAGAATTTATTCTATTCAAAAGATTCAAATTATTTGAAAATGATAAATAATTAAAAATTGTGAAAATAAAATATTTAATTTAGAATCATATAATGATTATTAAAAAATATATCATAATATGATATAAATATGTACTATTTGACCCGGCTAACGCTTTTTACCATCGATTATAACAGATTGCAAATGTGATATATAAGTGAAAGGGGCAGTTAACATAAAAATATATATGAATCATTTCAAAAAATTTGAAATAATAAAACATTTTTTTGAATTATTGCTATAAAAAAATTGCTATCTCCCCAAAAATAATCATTTATTCACACTGGCAATTAGGGTTTATACAAAAACCGACCTTTCAGAAAACCGGTTTTCGAATTTTTAATTTTACTAAAAAACCGGTTTTAACCGGTTTTGAATTTTATATACAAAATAACTTTTTGTTTCTGATATTCTGTAATTTATCCGCAAATTTTAGTGTTATTTAGAGCAATATTTTATGAATTTAGTTAGTTATTGTTCAATTTTATAGATAGTAAACAAAATTATTTTAATTTTAATTAGTAGAATAAAAAATAATAGTTTATCTTGATTGAATAACTTTGAAAATACTTATTCGTTATTTCATGCATCATTTTCACATAAAAAGAATGAAATATTTTCATGATAGTGAAAGGAACCTTTTTTGAATAAAGAAAATAATACATTTGTAAATAAAAAACAAATTCATTAAATTAAAAAAAAAATTAAAAAATATTAGATACCTGATGATACATACTTGTTAAAATCCAATTTAGTTTTAAAAATTAAGCTAAACTCGGGTATTGTCTGTTCCGAGCAAATAATTAATTTTAAACATTCTAATTGTTTATTTTTTTAATAAATATGATTTCAAAAAGTTGAGAACGTCTATCGATTGCTACTTAGACGTATCCTTGGTTTACTCAAAAATTTCCTGAAAGCGAAA